CAGAAGCGCGCCCACGCCGAAGAGCTCCGCAAGCAGATCCGGGAGATGGAGGAGCAGCGGCAGCAGGAGCGGGCGGCCTTCATCGAGGAGGGCCGGCAGCTGCAGAAGGAGATCCGCGAGCGCAACCAGCTCCTGGCCCAGCTCGGCCAGCTGAAACTGCAGGAGTTCAGGTCAGGGGCTGCCTCTGCTGCTTCCCTGGGMTCCCCAAATCCTTCCTGYGTYACCTCAGCAAACAGGASMCAGWTCCATCGGGATYCTGATGGATTCTTCCCTCTGCAGAGCCATTGGAATGCCTGAGAAATACTGCGCCGAGGTGGAGCGCAAAGCCCGGAAACGAGCCAACGCAGCCTTCTCCTAAGCCCAGCTCCACGAGGAACCAGCTCCAATCCCCCACAGATTTGGGGCTCCTTTTGCATTGACTAAATTTTCCAAGGAACAATGTTTTTGAGCGGGTGGTATTTTCCATCCTTCCCTGGCCTCAGGGCTGTTGGGAACGCGCTGCCCACGGGGCTGGAGGAGGCTTGAGGTTCTTTGCCCCATTTGCCCCAGTCTGAGTTTATTTTTATTAGTGAATTTTTCCCATTTGTCCTCTGAAAGACGCTGGGAGAAATAGGGTGTGACACCCTGGGGATGGATGGCGGATGAATTATCAACATAAGTGGATAATTACTGACCACGGCTCCTCACACCCCTTGGATTTCCAGGCCTGRCAGCCAAACATTCCTGCAGCTCAGAATTCCCTGGAATTAATCAGTAATCAAACTTTACCAACCCGGAGCAAAGTGCGAAGGTGGGAGGATCCAGAGGGATCCCTAAAAACCAACGCCGCGCTGGGATTTGAGGGATTTCAGCCCTCAAGTTTAAGAATTTTTGGTTTTGGGGAGGAAGATGAGTTTTCACACAACGGGAAGGCGTTTTCCAGGTCAAAGTTACAATTTTTGGTGTTGAAAAGCAGCAGGTGGAGAACACGACATCCAGGGATCGGGAGGAAGCACCTCCACTTTTATCCCTAAATTTCCAAGATTTTATCCCTGAAAATAGACATTGTGATATTCAAAAACCTTCCTGAAATCCCTCCCAAAGTCCCTCCCTGCTTTGCACGTACTTAGTTACCTCACTCAGAATTTCTTGGTAGTTTTGTCCTTTTTGTTTTGCGTGGAGCAAGATTGCCATCTGCTGTTCGATGTTTGGAACCGCAGTGCTTTTTTGGAGGATTTTGGGCTGTTTACTTTCATTTTATACAATTCTATCATCACCGTCATGGTTTCCTTTGGTTGAACCTTCATTCTGAGAGGTTTTAGCTCCTGTACAATCCCCCTGTGCTAATTTTTGCCATTCCTCATCCTGGCACCCAGGATTCTTTCATTTTTCATAATTTATTTAGTGTTCTGAAGGTCTGAGGTCATTGTAATCAAGCCACAGTTCGGTTTTGCTCATTTTCTCAGTCCCTCATTATCAATGTTCTGCCGATCTAAACAGCAATTAAAACAAACCCACGAATGCCGGTTACATGCTCGTAAAATTAAATTATAAATCGAAAGTTACAAAGTTTAAGCAAACTACAAAAACAAGTAAAAAACAAACTACTAAACTAGGCAAAAATACGAGATTCTTCKTTTAGTTCCTTTTACCCCCCTCACTGTCACCAAGTGACCCTCAGAGCCCCCTCAGCGTCCCTCACCCCTCAGAAAAGGCGGGCTCGCTCGGCGCCGCGGGGGATGATGGGAAATGTAGTTCCGAGGAACAGCCGGGGGCCGTTAGCGCGCACAGAGCCGCGGGGGATCATGGGAAATGTAGTCCGCTGAACAGCCAAGGCCCGTTAGCGCTCTCTGAACCGCGGGGGATGATGGGAAATGTAGTCCGCTGAACTGCCAGGGGCCGTTAGCGCGCACAGAGGCGCGGGGTATGATGGGAAATGTAGTCCAGCTGTGGGCGCGGGAATTTAGTGTTGCCATGGGAACGGGGGCACTTGTTGAGGAATGGAGGAGGGGTTGCGTTGTTGCCGTGGGCCTCACGGTTATTCTCAGAGCTCCAGGGGTCTCTGCGGTCCAAGAATCCAYAGATATCAGTGCCAGGGCCAAGGGGTCTGTGAGTCGCAGGGGTCTTGGGGGTTCTCGAGGCTCATGGTCGTTCCCCGGGGTCTCGGGGTCCCTCAGCAACCGCACAGAAGGGTCCTGGGAGAGCCCAGGCCAGGGATTGAGCTGTGGAATTCCCTCTGTGTCCACAACAGCTCTGCCAAAGCCCAGCGATGCCCTTTGGGCTCCCTGAAATCCCCTCTYCTGAGAGAATTTGTGCCAAGCATTCCTGGAGGGTTTCCATCCCATTTCCTCTCCGAGGTAAAACCACAGATTTGGGAACAGAAGAGGAGCAAAGCAGAAAAAAACCCTGTTTGCTCAGAAAACATAATTTATTGGAAGATTCAGTCAAGGGATGTGCTGGTTTGAAAATAAACCAKCRGGARAAATGAACCCCACACAAATACCTTGAGAGATATATCAGGTTGGAATTTAATTACACAAATAATTGGTATCTATTACAATTCAATAGAAAGATTGCAGTAAATG